GAACAATCCTTTGGATGAGAAGCCAATGACATCAATAGGAGGTATTGGGCAAGTCCTAGGAGGCCAGTTGGGGTCGATAGATTTCAAGACAGCATATTCCTTAATATAAAACGGCATATTCCTTTGTGGGTCGATGCTTATATAGTCATGAAAAAATAATGTGAGCAAGAGAACCCCCACTTCTTTAATGTTGGGTTTATTATATATAGGCAACTAAATCTAACTGATCATTTGGTGAAACCAAAATTTCGTTACCAAATTATATCCAGAAAAGATTCAATCCAAAAACAACTACATTGTATACTTCATTAAGATGCAAAATAATCATATGTACAATACATAGAAAGTGGATTTTTGAATTATCTCATCATTTCTTTTATTATGAAGTTTGCAATGTTTAGATGAAAATGATAAAATTATCTCCATAAACTGAAAGTTTATCGGAGATGTTGAGTAAAAAGTGTGTACATTCATTTGCTCATTTCAATAAAACATAGTAGAGATTGATTGTGAGTTGAATAGTATGGCAGTCAAGATGAGGGGCTATATATTGAATGATCAATAAATATCAAATAGAGCACTTCATGGACAATGCAGAGAAGCACATCAAATGGCAGCTAAAGAACCTTGTGGTGGACACTCTTGTTCTGATTCATTCCTTGTTACAGGCACTACAAGAATGGCTATTCATATTAAACATTCTACTAGACAAAGAAATTTGATGTACAATACATTATAACAACATACATCATCTACAGCCCCAGCATCTGTCACCAAGGCTCTGAGACAAAGAATCAGAGGCAATCAGTGAGGTAATTTAACTTCATTAGAATGAGATTCATGTTTTATGTAATATTTAGATATTTGTAAGGTACTACTACTACAATTAAATTTGGCAGAAAAAGATGAACAAGCCAAGACATTAACCAAGGCACATATCCTTTCTTAGAATCCATTTTTTCATTGATGCCATGAAAAAGAGTGAAAATTATTTGAAATTCATCCAAAAACCAATACAAGGCAAGCCTATTTATGTCATTGGCAGTATCAGCCAAGTCATAGGAGGGAGGCTTGAGATGATGGGCTTTCATTTTAGGCTGCGAAGAGCCTGCAATTCATTCAGTCGACAAAAAAGAGTGAAAAATATCAGAAGTTCGTTAAGGAACCCCTAGGCGAAAAATAAATAACAATCATAGGGGGAATTGGCCCCATTATTGGAAATAGATTAGAGGCCTTGGGCTACAGATTCAATTACAATCTCATTGGCCGCTACCCCGTCTTAAACAAGAATGACGATCATTTTAAATCTTGGATACAGTGTCATAATTATCATTAGCCAATCCCTAGGCTATGGTCACAGTACTGTACATGACTGTTGTCAGTCTGGTTAAAAAAAAACTCGAAAGTGAAAAATCGCATAGGTGTCATGCAATTACGGGGCAGGCTGCTGCAAATTTCCTTATAGTGCCAGTAGTAGTGTGGAAATTTGCAGTCATTATGCGTAGACATCATAACAAACTTGGGTATCACTCTACAGACATTGCTCCAACCAATGTATTCGTGAAAAAAAATGATATTAGGGAGCCTTTTGGGATGCAGTTTGTATTCGATATGGGTGGCATCCTCCCAATTTCCCCTCCTCTTGTGTGTGTGGACATGCATTTTCTATTGATCATGCTCTTTCTTGTACTTATGGTGGGTTTCATACGTTGAGACACAATAATGCACGTGATCTGTTGGTGTCACTATTAAAGGATGTGTGCCCTAATGTTTGTCGCAAACCATCATTGCAACCTTTGTCTGGGGAGCGTTTTCTTCATAGATCTGCCTGTACAGAGGATAATGCTCGTTTAGATATAGCCGTGGAGGAATTTTGGGGGTATCAGGGCAGGAAGTCCTTTTTTGACGTGAGGGTCTTTAACCCTCTTACTCCCACGTACAGGGGTCAGTCCTTGGCCAGTTGCTACAAAAGAAATGAGGAGGATAAGAAGAGGAAGTACGACGAAAGGGTGCATGAAGTGGAGCATGGATGCTTTGCTCCCCTGGTCTTCTCTGCTGCAGGTGGCTTTGCACCAATATCTGGTGCCTTTATAAAACGTTTAGCCTTACTGCATGCTGAGAGACTAGGGAAGCAGTATAATACGCTTCTTTACTTCATGAGGTGTGAGATCTCCTTCTCCCTTCTTCAGTCCACAATAAGATGCTTGAGAGGTTCTCGTTCCTCATACTCTAGACCACTATCTCTTCCCTGTCTGGAGGACATGTCTCGTATCATCTCTGATGCTAGGCTTTCTATTTACGTAAACTACTATATACCCGCTATTATTAATATTATTGTTATTATATTAGCATTATTACTATTGTACTATGCGTTTAGTTCTTCTGTTGCATTATTATTAGGTTAATGTTTATCATTTTGCTCCTTTGTGTAACTTAATGTGTTACTGCATCTTTTAATATGAGATTTGAGGGTAATGACCCAATTTAATAGACAGGCACAATCACTTGCTTTACTGCAGATCTTTGACTTGGCTAAAGGAGACTACCTTTGACTGTTAGGCAGTAATGATCTGATGATAGTAAGAGAAAACAACACAGCACTTGTGGGAGTAGTAAAAATCCTTGTTCCATTTGAATCTTTGACTCAAGAGATATCAAGCAAGTGCTACACATCCTGATTAAGGACTATTCCAATCTCAAAGTACCTCCAACACTTAGCATTTAGCATAGTCGGTTTCAGCTGAGAAGAAACGGAAGTAAATCAATATTTTCGTCATTAAAACGTCACGTGTAGCCCCACCCAAACATGGCTGCAATCTGCAAGCTCTGTCATTCTTCGAGCGTTTCTTCTCCTTTAACTTACTTTACTATCTATTGTACCTCTACAGTGGTTGCTGCTACCTCCATCTATCCTTTTCTTGTTTTTGGTGCCAGTTTTTAGCTGGTATAGAGCTCGGAATACGGGTGAATCAATGAGTGTACTGGCAATGAAGAACAACTAAGATTGAGAAGGCTATGGAGTGATATAGCAAGAATTATCCTCAAGAGAAAGCTCCTGGTTGAATATTAGTAGGTCTAGAGAGCTTGATATGTTTTGTTTTATTTTTAAAATTAAAAACATTATTTTTTGACTAAATGTAATGAGATGCAAATGATATCCATCGGAGTGACGCACACAATTCGTCATGGCGGCTCCTTTCATCTCAAGCGGAAGAACCCATTGAGAACCTTCCAGAGTACCTAGAAACTCAAAAATTGGTAAGGATTTTTGGAAGAACCCGTTATGCAGCTATATCAAATTTCAATTTGCTAGCATTAGTGACAAAAAAGTTATAAGGGGTGGTGGTGGTTTCTTCTCAACTGAAACCGACTATACAAGAAAACACATTGAGCCCAGAGGCAGCAAGGTGTGTTACAGCCAGCCACTTTACTTTTTGATCCAGATGATTTAAAAAATGCTGAAAAGTTAAATATACAAATAATTGATAACAGCATGGTTTGTACTGCTAATGCCCAAGCTGCTCTAGAGAAATTGGCACTATACCAAGTAACCATTTTTAAATGCTTTGTGCATCAAGTATTTAGCACTGCCAACTGATAGCTTGATTTATGCTGCTCCTACTTTAACGAAAGGGCATCCCACAATAGCTTTCCCTTGCTGGGGTCACTCATCAAGGACATCTTTGTGCAATCTTCTGAATAGCAGATCAGCATTGTTGCTAAAAATTTCAGCACTTCTGGAAGCGTGTTATATTTTAAGGCAAAAGTGAAGCCATCTTAACGACTGAACAACACTCATGAAGCTTGGGTTGCTATGAATAAGAAAGGTGAAATTATCACAGGACATTGCACTTGCATGGCTGGGTAGGATTATTTACATTAAGGACAAAATTTAGATAAAAGGACAAACAAGCTCTCATGTGACAGAAATTCTTTTTAAAGTTGAAGCCTGTTCACGCTTCAGCATAACAAAAATGTCACACACATGACCTTGTTTGTGAGACCAGACTTTCACAAAAAGTGTAAGGTGTCATTTCATATCATGCATTATCAATATTGTCAATTATATAGGTAGATTCATCTCCTGCAGCTATGAAGTTCTCATTTACGTCAAAGGATGGTACGAACTAAACATAGAATCGTAAGTGATTAGAAAGAGCTAGTATGATGCAGATCACTTAATAATATTATTAATGATTAATAAGATAATCAATAGGCTCATGTATAATGAAAAATGGTTTTTAGCATACATGTACATAATAGACATGCAATACTTAACCCTTGAATTACAGTTAATTATTATCATTCCAGGCCAGGTATACAATTAAATTAGAGAAGAAATAGTGAGGAAGAGAAAATGGTAACTTTAATAAGATAACAACAACAACAATGAGCCATAGCATGCATTTCCATGTCCATGCTCCTTTAAGTGGAGTATGTCCGTATCTGCCATACCATCTCCTCTCCTTCCATATTGATCATAATCATCACCAACGACACTTCTCTATTCAAAATGAAGTTTTTTGATCAACACTGGCATGATTTTCCCGCAAGATTATGTTCATCTCTATTATTACAATAATTATATGTACATTTGTAACAGGTAACATTAGATGGTGAGCTAGGTATTGATTCTGGTGGTTTAAAGAAAGAGTTTTGGACATTGTTATTTCAAGAAATATTAAAAAGATATTTTGAAGGAAATAAAAGCATCTACTATATAAGACAGAAGTTAAATGTGCATCTAATCTCTATCTAATTTGCATTTATAATGCTGCAGGATTCATAACCTACATGTGAAACTCTAGCTTTCATCCCTCCAGTTTGATTGCGTTGGGCTTAAGACTTTTTAATCTTTGCTATGTGGACTCAGTCCACCCTTATCATCACTGGCTTCCCTTCATAAATTACAATGGTAACCTAAGGTTTACCATCAGCTACAGAGTAACTCAGCCAATGCACCAGCAACAAGGAATCAGAGGAAATCAGCTTGGCCCTTCCTAATTCTCATGAGCACCAAGTGGACAATAAGCTCCCCTTCCCCTCTCATCTGGTTCACGTCTCCTCATACTAGGTGATGGCTTGTTTTGTCTCCAGTTATCAGTCTCTGATCTCCTCCAGTTGTCTTCCCTTCTGCTTGTAATACATGTAGCTGAGCCTGCTAGCAGGACAGACACTGGTAGCAATCACATGTCAAATAATGTATAAAAGATGCTATAAGTCTTCTTTTGTGTCATAAGTAAAGTTGCTGTTTCTAAATGAAGATGGTTTGATAGTAATGAGTCATTTCACTATTTGATGAAGTTTTTATAGTACTTGATACTTTTGCCATTATTGGTATGTTTCTCAAATAGTGTTTGAAATTGTAATGGTAAGTAAAGACTGATACTTACATGCATTTAAAACGTATCTATATATAGCGTGCAGCTTACTTTAAGAATCAAGCTGCCAATGATCACAACTGGAAAGCACTCCTGCTATTCAATGAGCAAATCGTAAGGCAATTAAGGAGGATGAACAGGCTTTTTGTTAGCAAAGCAGTACCAAAACTACTAAAAAACAGTAATATGAATTCCCAAAACCTAATAAGGTTTTTTCCTCAGTTACCAAACCTAATATTAATAGTCTTGGTTGCACAAACATTACAATGCCAGCACAAGACAACAGATAGAAGTGCTGATTTATGTGAAGGGATGGTGTAAAACAAACAACTATCATGGGGGAATTGGCCCTGCAATAAGAAAAAGATTTGCAGCCTTTGGTTATAAATTCGCATAGCACAATAGCAATAGCAAAGGAACAGCAAGTGCTGAGGAAGAGCCAGATAAGTATCTATGGAGTACAGTCTCGACTATCTCTGGATGGGCAGGGCATGTACCATATAGGATTTTAATTTGTGAGAGTTTCATGTTGGCAATAGTTGTTCATAATTAAAATCACAAATCCTTAATGCACATGGTCAGCATTGCATGTGTGAACAAATTGCCACATGCAATTTTGTAATGAAGTGCCACCAACAATATGGCATTTATCAATTAGGCAATCATTACACGTATTTATATCAAAAAATAATTTACCATTTCCGCATTAGACATTCATGCATTATAAAAAAAGTTGCAAGTAAAAAATTGCATTTGTCGTGTGTGGACATCGTAACAAAGTTGGGTATCACTCTACAGACATTGCTCTAACCATGTCAAAAAAAACTTTGCAGGTTTTATGATAATGCCTTGCAATTAACATGATCACTTGTTTTACTGCAGCTCCTATGACTTGGCTACAAGAAACTATCTTTGACTGTTAGGCTGTAATTATCTGATGATACCAAGAGAAAACAACACAGCACTTGAGAGGGTGGCAAAATCCTTGCCCCATTTGAATCGTTGACTCAAGAGATATCAAGCAAATACTACACAAAATTATTCCAATCTCAAAGTGCCTTTAACGATTAGCATCTAGCAAAACGACAACACATTCTCTGACTGTGAGCCTTTTACAAAATGAGAGCATAATTTCAGGAATTGAAAGAAAACTAGCTCCTTCCTTTGTCAACTTTGCTAGACCCCAGGTTTAAGAAATTAGCCTTTGCTGATAAAGACACAGAAGAGAGAGATGCTAAAATTCTTGTTTCTGAGGTGTACCAGGTAATATTGGGTAACAAGTTCCAGTAGATCAACCTCCATTCTGACGAGTCATAGCCTAAAGCTCTGTCTGTGCCAGGTGTTTTATGAACAGGTTGCTCAAACCAATACATCAGCCTACACCGAACTTTAACAGCTTAAGAGATCTCTTGTTATTCCAAGATCTGATTTTCCTCTAAAGTGGTGGAAGGAAACACTCATGTTTAGTGTCTATCCAATAATATTTCCAAGTGATAGGAATACCTATGCACAGTGGCTACCACTGTTCCATCTGAAAGAATGCTTAACAAGGATGAAGAGCTCACTTTAATGAGGAAAATATGCTCAAAGCTAAAAACATGGATATAATGCTCTCCTCAACAAGAACTGGTCACAAACCAATTGCCCTATCATGTTAAACATGAAAATCATAATGCCCAGTATCAGGATACATCCATAAGTATCTTGTGAAATCCAATTTTATAAAGATTTAAAGTAAATGAAAGGCATGCCACATAATTCAAATCGCTTATCACTACTGTACCTGTACCTATTCAGTGACCTTGGGTCCATCCAACTACATTAAAAAGATTCTTGTATCATGAGTGATCTCAACTCTTGAGTGGTGGGTGGAGTGCCTAATACCATGTGATAGCAATACGCCAATTTTAATTACGTGTTCATCACTCATGTGTGCAGCTGATGCAATACAAAAATTCATTAAGATATGATAGCTACAGTCATTTTCATTAAATGTGTTTGGTGCTATGTACACATGTTCAAATGGCAACATACAGTACTGGTCAGCAATAAGTTGACACGTTTCACGTTGAGTTTGCTATAATTTGTATATGACATGTACATTATAATATGAATTAACACACAAGGAGTATACAAAGTACATGTATGTGTACATTAGTGTGGCTTGGGTATATAAGAAGAGATCCTTTTTGAGAAATTCAAGAATTTTACAAGTGAAAGGATGGCCCTAAGAAACATGACTAAGACGTTGTCATATCTGCTCCTTTTCTTGGAGGACAATGGCCTAGGGATTGCTTCAGAGGATAGGATAGGTAGCAAGGATGTAGGCAATGAATGTATCTACAAGATCCAGAAGAGGATCTATGATTATAGAGTTATAGGCAAATGCAAGCTATGTATATTGCCTATTACAAATCTATACTACAATAATTGCTTGCTAATAGGTAATGAGAAGGAAATGGAAGAGCTGGAAGACAGTTAAAATTAAGGATATTCCATCAGAAATAGCCAATGTACATGTACCTTTAGAAGAAGCTACCCCCAAACACAAGTGATGACACTCCTGAGGTTACATGTAGCATAAGATCTACTTGTACGTCAAAGAAGAGGACCATTACCCCATCTAAGACTAAGGTATGTAATAAGAAGAGAAAAACACTTGTAAATAACATTTTAAATTGTTTTGCATAAATTTTCTACATCTTTTTCTACATCTATGTACATGTATATATAGGCTGAAGAGTTTCCAATCATTGATACACTTGCTCCTCCTAGCACTACAGTTACATGTAGTAGCATTGCTATATCTCCTAAAGCTCCTACTACAGTTGATGTATCTTTTCCACCAGTTGACATTATGATCCTCTAAAAATGATTTAACAAGATTGCTGGTGTCTTTAGAATCATTGTCTTGCTCAAAACAGTATTCATCATCAGAAAAATGGCTAGTAATAAATGGCAGAAGTCCTTTTTCTATCACTGTGCATAAATTTCAAGCATTCAAAATTCCCTTAAATATGACCAGTGTTGTTGATAGGCCTTGGTTTCATCTTCTCAGCTCATTTTGTTTTCTAAAGCAGACACGAACATGTCTATCCAACTCTGCAGAGCACTCATCTGTGAATACAACGTTATCAAACTGACAGTTCTCAGTACCAGCTCATTTTGTTTTCTAAAGCAGACACAAACATGTCTATCCAACTCTGCAGAGCACTCATCTGTGAATACAACGTTATCAAACTGACAGTTCTCAGTACCGGCACCATTCCAATCTTTTCTGCTTATTGACCTCCCTTACTAATTGGCAGTATTTAGGGCAGGTAGACCTCCATTCAAGACTCTATCTTCCTCTTCTTATTGTTCTAACAGACACTGAGAGCTAAGGACACTTCTCAATAAATTCATTTCTTATGATTCTTGACATCAATTCATCATTTTCTTGAGTTCTACGATCAATAAACCTCAGATGCTCTTCACTAAGTATCCTTTTTTGCTTCTTGGGAAGATCACCTATATTACCTGTTGCTACATACATTTTAAGCAACTTATAAGCTCCATCTTGATATACATGTAGCAATGTTTTCCTCCAAGAGCCTATTTTTTATTGACTTAACAGTGTATCCAAGAGTTCTGAAAAGAACTATTCTCCTTCTAGTTTCCACTAAAACTCTTGCCATTTTGAAATCTGACAAATCAAAACTCAAGAAAGAGTAAACTAGTTTAAACTAATTGGAAACTAACATTCGCCATGCGCAAACGTTACCACAAACAAACATGACTTGTGTAAACTCAAACGTCTTGTGGAGGCTTAAATTATCAATGTTTAATTAGGTTTATTACATTCACTATATGAGTTTACTCTAGTTCAGCAATCGTTTGTAAACTTATTGCTGACCAGTGCTGTAGTAAGTGAAAGCAGATGCTATTTTGATTCTCTATCGGCTGATATGTGGGCTACAGTCATTTTAATTAAATGCATGGGTTTTTGTTCTGTGTATGTTCAAAAATGGCAACATACAATGTAGCAGATGCTATTTGGATTCTCTATTGACTCTCCTAAGGAAATTCGGAATTTCATTTACAAATGTATGCAAACCCAACACACAACCATTTCATTTAGGTCACAATAAACACGCCCACCAAGACACGCCTGCAGCATTAGCCATTACAAAAACAATGACAACACGTCATGAAATATTGCATTACTTTAAATCAATCAACGTGCCAAGAGTAGATAATTATTTAGGGAGAGTGTCTAACTGCCTTGTAGTAGGTGAAACATCACTACTAGTTTTAATTGATGAGAGACAACAAGAGTGAGTGTGCCTAGCCGCCTACTAGACACAAATGTAGAAGAACAGCCCAGGAGACTTTAGATTGATACTAAAGTGTGAATTGCAGAGACTCCACAACAGCCAGGAAACCTTGTTGAGTAAACCCAACAGCCATTTTTCCCTTCTTCAGCCACACCCAGTATGTGCAAATGGCCAAAAACGCACAAGAAAGACTATGTGGACTAACACAGTGATGCTTCAGCTGCTACTGTATAAGTCGTTTTTTCGAG